TTTTTTTTTATTTAACGGAATAAATAATATTGCTTGATAACATATTGGTCCTTAACGGTGCCACTTAGCGATTTAACATTAATTTTTTTTATTGGGGTAACTATTAGTGTAACAATAAAAAAATTAAATGATTATTATTGTAAATATATAATTTCAGCAATCATTAACATAATTAAGAATAATATTATTCTTCATGCCATTATATGATATACTCATTTAAATGCAAAATCATATGATTCTTCAATTAAACTTCTAAAGTGCAGTTACCTACAATGGTACTCTTATATATGATTTTTATCCATAATTTTATCAATTTTGTTGCGGGTAAATTAAGTTTAACATCGTGGATGACATTATTTGACGTGACAACATTTTGAGCCATTGACTTTATCAATACTTATTCAAATAAATGGAACAAAGTTTCACATACCACACAATGTCATCCAGCAATGTACAATTAAAATAATTCTAATTTTATTGTCTGATTCTCAGTGTTATCCGCAGGACATGTTTAGGGAGTGTTTGAGCCACGTTATTTTGGTAATAATGCATTCTTGAATAGTGTATTAATGAAAAATGTGTGGTTAAAAGATAAGGAAAGGTTTTTGATCTGCGCGTAATATTATTTTGTTAAAAAATATGTTGTTGAAATGATGTCAAATTACTATTTAAAAATATATTTTTTTTAAAATAATGTGGTTCAAACAGGTACCTAATATGAAATCTTGTTAATCTTCGACGTTATCTCATAATTAAAAAATATATTTAGCTAGATGACCACCGATTCATTGCTAAATAGACGGACAACCTTTTAATTTATTAATTTAGAATGGCATTATTTCTTATAAGCTAAAATTAGATTATTTTGTCCTTTCTACTTATTTAATTACTGGATGGCATCAATCGAGACCATGAAGAAATTCCACGTCAGACAATTTTTGTACAAGAAAATGGAAATTTGATGACAAATAAAACTTGACATTTATTCAGTAGAAGATGGATTTTTTTTAAAAAAAAAAAAAAAAAAAAAAGGACAAATCACAGTTCGTCATATCAACTTTGTCAATATTTTGTCCCTCGAGACATAGTTCAGTGGTGTAAAGGAAAGGAGTGAGGTTAACTCACGTCTTACTGGCAGCCGCGGTATGGATGTTCGATTCCTGAAATATGAAATTGGACTCCTTGTAGGCGCAGTGTACATGCATCTTTTGTTCCCTAACCTGTTGGGACACATTCCGCGATTTTACCTCCCTTACAAAACTCTAAAAACGGGACGGTAAAGGCCCTCGGTTCTCCCTTTAACTTTGTTAATATTTTCAATCAAATTTCTCAGTTTGAGTAGTTTAATTATCGGGAACTGGCGGGCCCATGAAATGTCATCGTGGGTCCCACCATCATGCAATTAGAATCCGATTCAGAGTACAGAATCTACACTTGCACGCAAAGAATTATGCTCTTCTTATATGCGAATATTCTCTCTTCCTCAATTTTGATGCCTTAGTCAAGCTGGCCGGTGGAATGACAACACTGCCCCTTGTATAATTCGTGGATCAGGAGGTGTTTATATTTTGCTGTTGTGGTGAATTGACCAGATTGACCTCCAGAGAGGATGAGATGAATTTGCACTCTCGCATGATTTTGACATCCAAAACAGACTATAAAATATTAACAATTATTCAAAATTTTTAATTATTAAGTTCCATTTTTTCCGATTAATTTTCTAGTCGAGTATGATGATTTCTAGATTTCCATCGAGGTTAATACATTACTAAATTAATTTCGAATGAACAATGCATGGTCAAATTCAGTACCGATTCGGCCACCATTCTTTCTAAATTTTAATGGTTGGAATGATATTTTTTTGAAAAATATGTGGTTGAAAAAGAATGAAATTTTTTTTATTTACGTATAATATTATTTTATAGAAAATTGTGTGATTGAAAAAAAATGAGAATAAGGGCCAAACGAAAGCTCGATTTAAGGAAAAAATCCTTGTGGTCAACAATATTTTTGTAGTTAAATGAATCAGATAACAGCCATGCTACATGTCCCAAATCGGGGACCGACCCAAAAACAAGGGGTTGAGCCCCCGATTTCAACTTCATTGGTTTTTTTCTCAAATCCAAGGACCAAGGTGGATTTTGGTCGGTCCCTGAGTTGGGACAAGTTGCATTTCCCATCAGATAAACAGTTGCAATTTCATTTTCCACGTGAAAAGGAAATGACCGAAGATGGGATTAAAAAAATGTAATTTATTTGGGTAAGTTAAATAATTGGAGAAAATGAGAAGTTGAGTAATTGAATTGACTAACGCAAAGGGACACCGGTCATCATACTGATAAACAAACCTTCATGAATCATGCGACTTTAACTTTCTTTACAATTGGTTCATTTGTCATCAGACGTGGTCACGTACGACTTTAGATTAAATTAATGAAGTGCGCCACTAAGTGACACAGCTATCCAATTTTTAATTCGTAATAATGTATTAATAAACAATTGTTAAATTTTAAAAATGTCAAATTGATTATTACGTTTCTTAGCTCCTTTTGACCTTCATTTTCTAAAATTATTTTTCTTTTGCTCATTTTCAAAGATACGGATACATTCTATCAATAAAATGATTTTAAGCGACTATTCATAACTTTTTAAATACATATTTTTCAAAAAAGTCACATCTCACAAAATTTATCCCCAAAAAAAAAAAAAAAAAAAAATCTTAATTCAACAGAGGTTTAATAAAAAAACGAAACTTTGTCGATAAAGGTTTGTTGTTTAGTTTATGTAATGCTATTTAGCAAAAGTAGTATGAAGTGTCATCAATTGATAAATCATAAAATGAATCACATTTATATTTTGTTACTTGCAAACCCTCTAGATTATACTACATTGCATTATTCTTTTAGTTTTGATTTTTGATTTTCTTAATTAGTATTTTATTCCCTCACATATTACGTAATTTAGCCCTTATACAGCAGGAATTAAAATCAGAATTTTAGCGAAGTTTTATAAAAACTGATGACGTATTTGTTTGAAAAATTATGGATCGCATAAAATATGTGATTAAAATTAATTGTTGATTGTAACTTAAATTGAAGTCTAGATTTTAATCCCTACTAAATAGGGTCTCAACGATATATAAATATACTTATCAATATTTTGTTTGACCATTTTATTAAACTCAATAAGTTAAAATAAGCAGTGTGACAACATAACACATAAATAAAGCCATCGAACAACAAAAAATAAGTAGAGAAAGATATTGATAATAGAGCAAAGTTGAAGTCGATCAAATTATAATTGATATAGGTTAACTAGTTTATAAAGGAAAAAAAATCTTTAAAATAAATGATTTGTCCTTCTACATTGAAGCAATACCTTCTAGACAGAAAATAATAATAATAAAATGAAAAGTTCAATTTATTTTTGAATAATGCTATTTATCATTTAATGTCACATTAACGCGCATATAGACTGAGGGTATTATCTTGATTTTTAGTTTATTACTATACATGTCCCGATAAATGCATTTTTAAAAAAAATACATCGAAACGATAGATTAGTGTACGAATATTTTATAACTTTCTTATTGCGATCCAAATATGAAAGCATTAGTATTAAAGTAATAGATACAAAAAGAGATGAAAAGGTATTCAATACCATGAAAATTACTAAATCTAAGTTTTTTGGGTGTCGACGGGGACAGAGAGTGATCAACTAATATTATTTTCCCTAAAGAGAAAAACCTTTGACACTTTGGCAATAAAATCCTTTCACTTGAGAATTGAGAGTATGTATAATTGTTGTTAAAAGCAAATTAATTTATTTTGTCAAATGTAATATTGAATTTAATTTTTCTACTGGTAGATCTTGCTTTTTAAAAAGCAAGTGAAAATTAAACTAATTTATCTTTACGAGATGTTCATTCCTCATTTTGCTAGATGCTTCACTTTACAAGATGTCTATTCATCGTCGTGAATGTTTGTTCCCCTTCTCAATGCGATTATCACTTACTACTCGCTTCGCAAGATGATTGTTAAACCTCGACCTAGGAGTCAAGCTAATATCACAAGTCGTACTAGTCTTTTTCTAACTTGTATGAATGTGATGATTGTTCTATTTATTCTTCACTTCGTGAAATGCCTCACTCCACGAGATGATTTTTTTTTTTTATTCCTCGCTTCGTGAGATGCATCACTTCGAAAGATAATTGTTAAACCTTAAGAGGAACCTGCCTCCCTTTATTTCCTCTGTTGACAACATTGAGTTTTATAATTAAAGATGTTACATGTGCTGAGATTCTGTTTCAAAGGGTTCCACCTTTTTTTTTTTTCAAACCCACCACCAAAATTACTATAGCAAAATGTATTTTTCTTTGTGTTTATAACCATTATAAAACACGTTCTTATTTCCACAATTTGTATAATTGATGTTGCAAAGTAATAATTGTTTTCCAAGTAACTTTTATGGAAAATGTTATGTTAGTGATTCGATTTCATTTCATTCTCAATTCGTTATATTATTTCAATTGGGTAACGTTAAGTCTTCGTTTGGTAGGATAATTTAAGTTAATGTCAATATTAATTTTAATCACATATTTAATGACATTCACAACTTTTTACCTCTACATTTCATCAACTTTTATCAAAATTTATTAAAAATCTAATTTTAATCTCTAGAACTAAGTGTTTTTTTTTTTTTGGAAGGTATCATAAAAAATGAAAAACAAATTTTTTGAAGATTGCATTATTAAAAAATGGGAAAAGGTTAGATACCACGTGCTACATTATTTTATCGGAATTATACAAAATTGAAAATAAGTTTGAAAAAAAAAATCAAATAAATTGTACCAAACAAAGCTACGTGGGTAGATATGTCATTCCGAGGTCACTAGTCATAAAAATGAAAAAGGTCGAGAAAATGTAACAAGGGCAATTCCGGTATTTCAAAAACCGTTCTCTTATAACAAACGGCTTTAAATGGTAATCTCCTTAGCTTTGCCTCTCTCAAGTCTCAACGAGAAAGAGGAGAGACGATTTTTGTCATTCCAAGCAACTGAAAAAACTCGTTTATAGTAGCCTAGAGCGAGAAGCAGAAATCCTTTTAGAGAGAGAAACCGACGACGCTGTGAGCTCCATCCTGAAGCGTAAGTATTTTCACACACAATCTGTTTATATTGGAAATTTTAATAATTTATCTTCATTTCTCTGCATATCTCTCTTGTTCTTGAACCCATAATTTCCCGATTCACAGCAATTGGTGATGGTCTTCTCTGCAATCTGTTTTGCTTTGCACATGTACAACAATTCCCGTTGTTGATGCATTGGAGATTCTCTGAGAAGCTTTGAACAATTCGAAGTAAAAAATTTTGGGTTCACATTTGCAGCTTTATTCCTTAGATTGTCTTAATCGTATTTGATTAATATAATGAAACCATAATCTTCTTTCAATGAGCTCAATATGACATTTTTTATTTTTTATTTTTCAGTTTTATGCATTCGTTACATACATCTGAAACAGTGGATGAGTTGTTAATGTTTTAGAGAGAAGACAATATAAGAACAATAATTTCTTGGTATAATTTGATGTTTTTGATGTAGTGGTTAATTTTAAGCTAAATTATTCAAGTAATCTATTTAATAAGGATCAGAAACTGTGATTATAAATTTTTTTGGTTTCCATTATAAAACCAATAAATTTCCATTCTGATTAGTCTCCATAAAATAAATTAAATTACAAAGGCCCGACTCTCGATTTTGTTGTATTTGGATCCATCTTTCGTTAATCAGTAGTCTATTATATTCAAGAGAATAATAGTATTCTTTTGTTTAATGTTGGTGGAGTTGGAGGGTGAAAATAGATTCTGGCATGTCCGACGTGTTAAGATTATCCAACATTGGTTATCGAATAGGTTGGTGGTCAGTTTACATATGTGAGTGAAAGCTTCACTTGAGCTAGCTTTTGGCTTGAGAAGGCCAAAAACCATCCAACACTATCGATTCTCTGCCCAACAGTCCACGGGATACACGGGTTTGGTCCCATCCAGGCCTGATGTGTGAGAGGGAGATTGTTGAGGTTATTCCACGTCAGTTGTGGAAAGAGTTGGTGGTGAGTTTATAAGTGAGAGGAAAAGTCTTACCTCATGAGCTTGGGGTTAGAAAGGCCTAAAACCACCCAACATGTTTTGTCTTGTTTCTGAACTTTGTACAAGTTTCTACGTTGTTCAAGATTTCTAATGTTCAGTTATTTTTCCAGGTTTCAGGTTTCGTGCTCTGGTAATAGAAGGTGGTTTTGAATTTCCTTTCAAGAAAATCTAAACACAAAAAGAAGCCTTCGATGGGTTCAATTGCAGAACCAGTCCAAGAAATAACAGTCAGCAAGCCCCCAGGAATTCGATTTGTAGAGTACATAAAAAGATCAGCTATTTCTTACCGAACGTATCAAGCCATTGTCCTAATAGTAACATTTTTCGCGTACACAGCCTACCATGCTACGCGAAAAACTACCAGCATTGTGAAAAGTGCACTCGATCCCCAATCACCAGATGAGAACTTGAAATCCCCCTTCTCATGGAGAAGGGCTTATGCACACAAGCCATTGGAAAACAGTAGAAATTCACGGGTGCTTGGAGCCGGTTGGGAACCATTTAATGGTTCCGAAGGTACATCATTGCTCGGGGAACTTGATGTGGGCTTCCTTTTTGTTTATGCAATTGGAATGTTCTTCTCTGGGCACGCAGGCGATCGGATAGATCTTAGACAATTTCTGACTATAGGAATGGTGGGAACTGGTTTATTCACTGCTTTATTTGGAGTTGGGTATTGGGCGAATGTCCATATCTTCTATTACTACTTAACAGTCCAAATTCTTGCTGGATTATTCCAATCGACTGGTTGGCCTTCTGTAGTTGCAGTCGTAGGTAATTGGTTTGGCAAGAAGAAGCGAGGACTTATAATGGGTATTTGGAATGCTCACACATCGATTGGGAATATTACGGGGTCTGTGGTTGCTTCTATGTTGTTGAAAAATGGATGGGGTTGGTCCATGGTTGTTCCCGGTCTAGGTATAACTTTTATTGGGATAGTTGTATTTCTTTTGTTGCCAGTGAGTCCTGAATCCGTTGGAGCTAAAGTAGACGAAGATGATCTCCCCTCTCCCAAAAAACTATGGGAAGAAGTGAGAGAACCTCTGTTGAAACCAGAGGTCGAAGAGGAGTCAGCTGTTGGGTTTTTAGAAGCATGGAGAATTCCCGGGGTTGCTCCTTTTGCTCTCTGCCTTTTCTTTGCTAAGTTGGTGGCCTACACATTCCTCTACTGGCTTCCTTTCTACATTAGCCACACAGGTACATAAATTTCTCCAATTCAACTGTTTAAAATTTATTGATTATCCGCTTAAATTTCACTGTCTTCCGTATTCATGATGCAGCTATCGAGGGAAGGTATGTGTCTAACGAGGAATCTGGGACTTTATCTACATTGTTTGATGTTGGAGGAGTGGTTGGAGGGATCCTAGCAGGCCACATTTCTGATCGGTTAGATGCACGGGCCATTACAGCCGCAAGTTTCATGTACTGTGCAATTCCAGCTCTCTATTTCTACAGAAGCTACGGACACGTTTCCATGACCGTAAATATCATTCTCATGTTGATCACTGGCATGTTTGTGAATGGACCATATGCTCTTATAACAACTGCAGTTTCGGCCGACCTGGGAACACACAGCTCGTTAAGAGGGAATTCCAGGGCCCTAGCCACAGTCACGGCTATTATAGATGGGACGGGTTCCATTGGGGCCGCCTTGGGTCCACTGCTAACGGGATACATTTCCACCAAGAGCTGGAGTGCAGTATTCACAATGTTGATGGTATCAGCTCTAATAGCTGGCTTACTTCTAACAAGACTCGTTGTGGCCGAGGTGGCTGCAAAGATCCACTCGAATAGGTCAAGGCCTTCTACACTTGTATGAATTCGAGATTCTTTTTTCCGCGTGATACTCTGTCTCAAGTTAATATCCCAAGAGATTATGGACGAAGAGAATATGGGATCGAATAGGAGAAGGTGTTTTACACAATTTGAAATTTGAAATTAAGGAAAGAGTGGCACTTCCCTTGAAAGTACATTTTGTGCAGATTCTTGTTTGCATTCAACCTGTAAAAGCCAGAATATCATTTGTAACCTTCTCATTTGTTGTATATAGAAGCAGCTTATGGAACAACAATTTCTTAATACAGCTAGAGAATGATGTCTTTCTCAATTATTGAGAACCCATAAGTGGATCTTTTGATGCCTCTGACGGTCGTTTTACAATTTCAACTTGTACTTTTCTCACCAATACGAAAGCAGTAGAAATTGTTTATTTATTTTTCTTCTTTTCAATTGAACACACCATGCTTTATTCCCGAACTAGGTGACAGTTTTGGGCAGGGCCACTGCTTTAATTATTTGAGTGTGTTTATCCACCCATTTTTAAATATAATGCGTTTCCACACAAATTTTGTGACAATTTCGAATTGACTGTCTTATATTTATACGTTAAAGACGTGTATGCTTGTGTAAGCATAGTAGCCACTAGTTTTAATATTCTTATAGTGATCCACTCAATTACTCAAAATTTCAAGCTCTCCCCTATTCCGTAATGTCGCTATTTAACATTAATCAAACAATGACCACACTGTCACATATACTGATGTTTTACACATATTATATCTCTTTGCCCCTAAAAAAATTATTTAAGCGGTTAATATCACTAATGATCATTGGACTTTGTGTCATGATGGCTACTATAATTCGTTTAGACTCGTTATTAAACTTCACAAAATGTTCCATTCAAACCCGACTCGATGCGCCAACTCATAAAAAATACTGAAAATCAAAACTATTTGATGCCAAGGCATGCAAACTCATAGAAATTTTCAGTTAAAAAATGGACGATCGAATTGAATCTGTAATTTGAGTAAAGCATTTTATAAAGTTCAGTGACGAATTTGAAACAAGTCAAAAGTCAGTGATAACCAATTACATAAACCCCATAATTGAATGTAAGAGGGGACTTATTTATTTGTTTGAACTAAGCCAACTACTTTGGTCCCATATATTGTGGAAAAAGGGCCAGCATTTGAAAAACGCACCTCCATAATTGAAATGCATATTTATTAAGACCAATCTCATAGTCAAGGTAGGGCATTGCGTCAAGCAACAACAATAATTTCTGGTTTATAGAAAATAGAATTGTGGATAAGGTACAGTTTAGGCTTTTGAAAATGTGTATTAAAACCTGCAATCTATTTTCATTAGCATCAATCGTTTTCCAATTATCTTATCTAGTTTTATGCAATAATATTACTAAGCGTGTGTGAATGCGAAAGCATTTACAAACAAACGTGCAATGTAGACAAGTTATAAATTTGATCAATTTTCAACCGGAACAGTCCATTCCTTGTTTGGTGGGAATTGGAATCGAGATTTAAGTCAATAATATATTTTATGGGATCCACAACTTTTCAACCACACATTTCATTAGCTTTTATCAAAATTTACTAAAAATTTGATTACAACTACCGCCAAAGGAAGGCAATGTATGTTGACTTGCAAAATCAGAAGAAAAAGAGAAGCCAAACAGCAAGAGAGCATTTTCTCCTGGTCATGGTGAATACCAGCACAAGCAAACGCAGTATCAAGATTTGGATCATTTCACACTCGTGCAGTTGGTTAAGCAACCTTTGATTTTCTATGCCTGAGATGTCATTGCCCACAATTAACATCTTCAATCAAACATCAAACTTGTACTCAACCGCAAAAATTCAATCTGTACCACATCCACAACTAGTGACGAATAGCATTACAAAACCATTCACTTCTTCAACTAGATCAATGTTAAGCTGAGCTGAAGCACATTCTGCTGAAAATTCTAAGGTATTGCTTCTAATATTGGAATTGAGCCGGATTCTACAAACACTGTTCAATGCGTGCATGGTTTAAGTGAATCAATCATGGATCTTTTTCCAACACAATATCGACAAGATTAAATGGTTAGATCCCACATTCAGGTTTATTGTACAAGTATTGAGGCCCATAATGCTGCAGACTTCCTTGCTAACCAGGGTATTGGCAAAAAGTGCCAAATTATTAAGCCAGACTAATTTTCCAATTATTCTCAAAGACATGCCCAAGATATATTGCTTGTCTTCCTTATATTTGAGCTTTGCAATGGCTTTATTTGATTCGGTAGGCTCCTTGTAGTAAAAGTACCTTCTCCAGATTACATTTTATTTTAGATTTGGAGGTAGTATGTACTTCTGGAGATCAAAGTCCCAATTCCCTCACAACCTTTGTGTAATTTTTCAATGGATTAGTAAATAAACTGGTAGGGTTCTGCCAAACTGTCCTACCTAGCCACAGGTGAAATTATCAGAAAAAATAAAATAAAAACACTGCATTTCCCTCTAAGTTTCATGATAATCCTCATCCTTCACCAGCACTACAAAGGCTTTGTGATGCAGGATATAAAGAAAAAAAGGCAGCAAGAAAGGGGAAGAACTGGAGAAGAAACAAAAATCAGAGGGAAATGGGAAAGGAGAGAAAGGAGACGTCAAAACCAATTTCACTTCATCATAATCATCAATTGTCCCAATTAAACAACAAATCAAATATAAATAGGTTAATATCGAATTCCCAATGTTTTCCTTGAAAATGACATGATTACGCAAATCATTAGGACCACCGGGTTGGATAAGGGACGACATACAATATTTGACTGAGAGGTATCGAGAGCAAGGAGTATTACCCCTAGATTTATAGGAAAAGTCCAGATACTACATGAGGAAGTGTTCTCAATATCATTCAAGTCATCAAATTCTTCAAATTTAGGTTCATAAACTTGATCTTCTAATCGCTCATCTATTATATTCTTTCTTTCTTCAATGACTAACGTTCGACTAGGACATTTGGGAGAATTGTGACCAAAGTCCTTACAGTTGTAGCACTACCAGTAAGAAGGAGTCATTGGAGTTTCAAAATCTTGACCTTTATTTTCCAACAAAAGAGGAGTATTAGATGGGGGAGGTTCTAGAAAGGACTTAACAGGAGGAGGTGGCATCGATATGGGAGGAACATTAGACGGGGAAGGCTCTGTGATAGACTTATGACGAGGTGGCTCTGATAAGATGGGTGAACAGTGGTGACTACGCTTTTCATATGGAGCACTAATAAGTAACTCGTAGTCCCGAGCTAAAGAGCAAGCATGATCAAGAGTAGTGACACCTCGAAAGAAAAGCTCACGCCTAAGTTCATCTCTTAAACTTTGTATAAACCTACTCAAAGTTAAGGCCTCATTCTCAATAATATGACATTTCATTCTAAATTCCTCAAATTGAGCAATATACTCCATCACTAATGGATTCCCTTGTTTAAGGGCTGTCAATTGAGTAAAAACTTTAAAATTTAAGCAACCATCAAAAGTAGGAGTGTCTAATCTAATGTCTCTAAAGAAACTCTCTTTATGACGACTAATAGAATGAGTATCGTGACGGTAGTAGGCTCGTTCTCGCTCACGAACTTGATCACTATCACTACGATTGTATCAAATATATTTTCGATTTCCTCGTCGAGGAGGATAATGTCTATTATGGGATATTTCAGAATTTTAAACGTCGATCGAATGAGGGATTTGTTTAAAATTGTTCAAATTAGCAGAGAGGACCTTACTCTCTTTAAGAGTAGCAATCATCTGAGTTTGGATAACCGCTATTTGTCGGGTGAGTACATCAAATTGTGAAGGGTCCATATTTGGGTACTAAAACTAGAAGTGACAAGACGACCAATCGACCACTATGCATGCACTGTACTAGCAGTTAAATGACCTGCAATAGAGAGATCAATGAACAATAAATGCAAGCAATGAAACAAATTGAGCATTTTTTATTATTATTATTTTTTTAAGGGATTAGGCAAATCCAAATATTGCAATCTAATACTGTTGATACATGTAAAATAACACGTAGGGGTCAAACACTAGTTAAATTCTCCAATCTCGTTGATAAGTGGGGGACAATGGGAAGTCAATTTGTTCAATAGTTCCGATCAAGTGGGGTTTAAGGCTAAAATTATAAAGCTAACAACAACACAAAGACTTCAAATGATGCAATTTTAAATGAACCAGTACTATAAACCAATAATAAATAGAGTTCACGAACTCCCTGTTGTCAGATTGTCAAGGCGGTGCTCACGAACTCATGAGAACTCAGTCCAATCGATGGTGGTGCAATCTATATTCATGTTCCTATTCACACATATAGGCAGTTTCAATAATCAGTTCAGTAAATTGCTTCTCGACTCGTCCCATTTCCAAAATATCAGTCTGTGTAGTCGGCCGCAATTTCAATACATATCCAATACAGTAAATTTGAGGACAGGTTGCGAAACTAGTCTATGTGCCTGCAGGTGAATGTATTGAAGTATGTTGGTTGCAGAGATTGGATTATGTAGCAGTGGCTGAAGAGGAGCTATTAGGTGAGAAAGCCGACAGCTTGTTGCAGGATAAGTGGCAGACGGTTGCTCGTGGTGGTTAAGAAAATAGAGGAGGAACACATTGTGTATGGGTAATAGTGTGCAGTGGTTGAAAATGAAAACAGATGAAACCGGTGGAGGAGAATGTGGCGACGACAGCAACTGCAATGGAGATTGAGAGACCGAAGAGAGATTTACACAAAGATGAGTTTGGGTTGTGGTGACTGCTGTAGGTGATGGTGGCCAGAGTGTTTGGTCGGCGGCGTTGGGTCAACGACGAATGGGAGGATGACTAGCAATAATAGAAGGGGAGATGGTTGGATTCCGGTCGAAGATATGTGGCTGGTTGACAGCGAAAAGTAACGAAGTTGAAGACGGTGACTGGGATGCAGTGAAATGAGCTGAGTTATGAAAGGGTAATTAGCTTGGAAAATGGGTTGGTGTTTTATTTGTTAAAAAAAGAAAAAAAGAAAAAAAGAAAAGGTTAAACCCTAACCTTAAGGGTCCCCCACCACCCCTATCCTGGAGCATCGTGAGGAAGGTAAATCGCAGGTTATGCCTCCACGGGTACAGGGTGGAAGGTTGCTTGTACACTTGCACTTACTCAAGAGCCAAATCCATATTTCAGGATTCAAGCCTTTGACGCAGCAGCCACAAGCAAAACTGGATTTCTCCACCCTCCTCTTTTACAACTTGGAGATGTGCCCTGGGGACTGGTGTTTTATTTGTAACTTGTAAGGTGGGTGGATGGACCGTAGGATTAGTTGTTTGGATAGTGGGCTGAAGTGTTAATGGGCCAATTTTGTTTTATTGAAATTGGACATAATGGGTAGAATTGTTGGGTTCTTTTGGGTGT